TGTTCAAGCAGAGACACGGGGGGGAGGGGGGGTCGCTCAATCAGCAGCCGTGAACTTTGATTCTAATGAAGGACGTGGTTGCAATAGCTAGCACTCGCAATATTGGCAAGAATCAGCGCACAGCTCGTAAACCGTTCTACAAAGTGGGCTTTCAACGGGAATAAATAGTGTAACAAGAGCTTTTCTCCCTGGAGCGGACATACTTATTCTCTTATGCCAGCGTAGTTGCGAGTTTCGCGATGTCGGATCCAAAAAAGTTAGCTTTCAGCCTTTGTATTGTCGCAGAGTCATGAAGTCGATGAAAGCAGCAGCCACTGTTTTCATGAGTGAACATTTTATGGGCTAACCTGTGCCTGGAAAACAAAACATCACTCTACAAGCAATACACGCTGTAGACTGATATCAACGGACATAGAGCGTCGGCCGGGCGATAATCTGCCCCGCATCAAAGTGCAGTGGCATTTACACATGTGTCACCAAAGATTCCAGCTTTATCGCTAACGGCCACATAACTTTCAGAACCAACTGTAATGTACGTGTTGTAACCAAGCACATGCGCCCAATTACCCTTTTTCCTTCTGAGAGCGCAAAAGCCTAGTTGCGGGGACATGACTGTCCCTTTAAGACACGAGTCAATAAACCCGGCGAAGGAATAGAACACGAGACGGTGAAGGAATGTTCTAGTTGCGGTTACTTCGCCGTGTTTGAAAAGTGTACTCTTTTTGCAAACGGCACCTGTCCAGCGAGCGAAGTAATCTTTGTGCGCCCGGCAACTAAATGCAATTGTTCCTGTCTAAGTCGAAGGCGCTATTTTCCCCGCTGAATGATAAGCACGCGCGCGCACAGGCATCTAACCTCCCCCTCCTCTATTCGCGGGGCAAAATACGCGTGGGAGATATTCGCGTGTCAACGCGTCGTGACAAGCTGGGTGCCAAGCACGGGCGGCTTTTCTTTTTTTTTTTTTGAGTTTCGAAATTCGATACGTACATATACGGTGACTGATGGCTGTGGCGGCAATAAACCAGCCAGGACTATCGGCATGAATGTTATGGTAATAAAAAAAAAATCAAAGCTGAACGTCGTCAGGGGCCGCACCATGCACGCACAGTGAAACTAAGCACATGCGCACGGCATCGAAAATGAAGAGCGAACGGCACGGACACAGACAGCAATGCCGCAGAATACTATTCGGTAAAGCGCTTCCATATACAGCGCGGCCCTACATATGTGACGCTAACTAAAGCGTGGCACTGCCAAGGCGCATAAGTAGTTTTTTTTTTATTTTTGTTTGAAGTGGGTGGGGTAGGAAAGGGCATACTCGCGCATGCGCTTGCAGCAGCAAAAACGGCAGCAACGCCAGCTCGTGGGGGTACAGCCCACCGGCCCACCTCGCGCTCACTTGCGCGCAATAACGAGCGCTTGCTCTCGCCTGGTGCGCCGCTTCGCGCTTTGTCGGCGGTGGGGTAGCCGTGGAAGATGCCTACTCGTAACAAAATGCGGAGCAAAATTCCTAAATTGTCCGTGCGGAAAATTCGTTATATCAAGGTTGTCTCCCACTGTTGCTTTGTTACATAGAGGTCGCAAATACATGTGCTTCTATGAAGCAACGGCGGGGAATAGAAAAACTTTGTTAAAATGAGGAATCCGTTATATGGGAATTCACTATAAACAAGTTTAACTGTAGTAAGAAAGGTGATAATGATAATAATAAAATCTCGAGCTTGGTGAAGCAGAGGTTACTGCTCCATCATAAAGAGAATGCCCTTTCATGCACACACCTGCTGTCATCAAAAAAAAAAATGGCAGCATATCCATGGGGTGAATGATGGAGAGTGGCGCGAAGCATTCGTCCGTCCATTCGTTCTTGCTTCCATGCGTCCATCCGCCTGTCCGTGCGTGCGTCTGTTCCTGCATTAGCACGTCCATCCGTGCGTCCGTCCCTGCGTTCGTTCATGCATCCACCCCTGCGTCTGTCCATGCGTCCTTCCGTCCGTGTGTCCGTCCATGCATCTGTCTGTGTGTCCGTTCATTCATCTAGTCAACACTCCAAGTACCACCATCTCGCATCTTTTCATCATATATTCCGCATATAGAAGCACCGCCATTCAACGGACAATCCAAGGACTAAACGAGAGGTGGCACATGGACACTTTCTCACGGCTTACGCTTCGTATCCACTTCCCACCTTTAACCGCCTCGAGTTCATGGTATATACTAGTTCACTATTCATGGCACTGCGGCCCAATGCTCCCTAAACCTTTCTAAAACCAAGGAGGTTACACCCAGCGAGTATAACGTAGCAACCCTTTCTTGTTAGATAGTGCTCAATGTACATGCCAATGGCTGCTAATGGAGAATGAGAGATAGGAGAATCGGGCTTTTAGTGAACGAGCACGCTGCGAATTTTTTATTGTTCAACAACGCACATCAGAAATCTCCCACCGGCACCACCTTGCTGGTCAAAGCGTAAGACATGTTACGTACTAGGACAAGGGACGAACGGGTGCCGCTTTAAGGAGCTTCGCCACTAAAAACTCGCATGGTCCCTTGTGCACAAATCCGAGATCCCTCGAGGGCAAAAACCCACCTTTTTGGTCATCTTCTCCACTGATTCCCCTGCTCTCGGAAGTATTATCTTTTGCGCCTGTCTTATGCTAATGACCGAGAAAGAATTGCGCTACAATCGCGGTGCAAAACAAAGTTAGGGAGGAGACAAAAAAAAAGTGGACAGTACAAGCGCAAACTATCAACTGAAGTTTATTGAAAGAACTTGGAAGAATGAAGGCTTCCCGGAAAGATAATGACCAGCGGTTATCCTGTCTACATGCTACATGCCCGGCCCATGTCCATTTTCTCTTCTTGATTTCGTAATTAAATTCGCAGTAGGTTAAAACTGCCTTTAAAAAGCGCAAGGTGGTTATTAAAAACTAAGAAGAGCTCATAGTATGGAGCCCTCTTAAAATTGTCACGCGGCTGCTTCTCATTGTGTTGCGCATGAGGAGTTCACAAAAGCTATATGTTTTAAAATATTCATTATTCCGAAGCTCTGACAATGGCAGAAATAATTTTAAAAATGATATATTTGCCACACAGATTATATTTCATTTATTCGTTAAAAATATGTTTTTCTATAGATGCAACTTTGGGCAATTTCTTGAGATCAGACATCATGTTTGTGGTACTTTTTATGGCCAGACTGGGAAGACATTTTTCCCGCATATTCCTTGACATGTGAAGAGCGCCATTATGTCCTTTAAAACGTTATATCCCTTTCATAATTACTACGAGCTCAATGATGATGATAAATATGTGAGGTTTAACGTCCCAAAATCACCACACGATTATGAAAGACGCCGTAGTGGAGGACTCCGGAAATTTTGACCACCTGGGGTTTTTAAGCGTGCACCCAAATCTGAGCACACGAGCTCACCGCATTTTTGCCTTCATTAAAAATGCAGCCGCCGCAGCCGGAATTCGACCCCGCGACCAGCGGGTCAGCAGTTGAGTACCTTAGCCACTAGACCACCGCGGCGGGGCACTACAAGTTCAAGGTAAGCTATGAGCGTGGGCTGAGCATTTTGACAATTGTCCAATAACAAGTTCTTTCATTAACTAAAATGTATACACACTCTGGGGGTGCTGACACCCCCTGTAAGATTGTTTGCGCCGCGTGGGGCACCTGTCTCGCCCAAAAGCCGCATTTCGGGTTAAAACCACCGGGTGATAGATGGCGTTGTGTTCACGTTGATCACCACTATCATCATGATGGTTTGTATAGTTGTAGTGCCAGCGATGACCCCTGGTGGAAGGCAAACCTTGGTGGCAGGCGAGAGTTGAGCGAGTCTTTTCTGTGCACGGCGGTTGCCGCAAACGGTAGTCTGTAGTGTGGGTCCCCGGTGTGTGGCACCACGGGCTGCACGTCCGGGACCCTCGTGGTAAGTCAAGCGTTGGCGACGCCACCTTGGGTGTGTTCTTGTGTTTTTCATGTTATTGTGTTTGTCGTCTTATTGTGTTTGTCATGGAGTGTATGGTCATATTGTGTAAGGATGTCCTAGCGTGTTAATTACAATTGATGTATCGATTCGGCTGACGATACCGTCGTGCTAAATTAGTTAAATAAATGTATGTTGTTCTTTGGTATGTACCGACCGTGTCTACTGTGTCCGTTCACTCCAAGAGCCCGGCTCTCGCCAATTTGAGACCCCACAACGCTTTCTTGATAGTTATTTCCATTCAATTAATGTGAAGCAATATGAGCCATTAATGGCTGATAACCATAAAAGTGAACAGCAGGAAAAGAATACTTAAAGAGAACTCTATTTTACACATTGTCATGGTACACAACAAAGCTATGCAACTTACTAAAAAACTGGTACCATACCTGAAGTTAGCATAAACACTGATGAAAACAGCAAACATTTCATTGCCACAGGCCACAGATTAATGAAACTTTATTTTCAACAGTATTTCCCCTTAAAAAGAAACACAGAAATTTCATCACAGCCTCATAAAATTTGAGAGTTGCTAGCAGCATGATAATGCAACATGACAGTTTCTCTACTACACCTTATCAATATTCATGTTATGCTACAAACATCAAACCTTCCATGCATCAGCACTCTTCTGATAAAGAGCTACATTACTTTGCCGTTTGCTTCCCTTTTTCAAGAGCATTCTTAAACCAATTTGCTTCTCATTATACCCATAAAAATTACGGATTTCTCATCCACTGCAAATAGCACTTTAGAAAACTTAGTTCAATATTTATATATTTCGGAATAAGTTATATGGGGTTGCTGGCATCACTCCAGAAAAAATAATAAGTCCAATCGCAACATTTCAGAAGCTATCTATGCAGGTAAGAACCATGTTGAAAATGAGAGGACTAAAATGAGGACTAAAACGAAAATGTGTTTCAAAGAGCGAAGCTTTAGCAAAGCACTCAAAAGATATGTCTTAGCCCATCCCTTAAAAACATGCCTGCAATCAGGCCAGCTCACCATTTGGTAGCTGGTCCCCCGCAAACTCCACTGCATCTGATAGGCAACCAACAAGTAATCAGTGCCTAGGCACGTCTACAAGTCCCACCACCACCAACAGTGCACATGCTTGTGCCATTTCTACATCATCGTGCCCAACAAACACTCACCAACACTAGGGGCAGCTGCTGTTACCATATGACAAAAGCAATCAGAACACACAAACGGCCAAACTGTGAAACTGCTTAAATTTTACTTCATCCATCTGGTACCTAGCCCTCATCAATGTAGACACAAAAAGTTTAGTGTTTGACATTATTGTAATCATCACACTACTATGCACTATGTTTAGTGCTTCTGAAAAAGTGTCACTTCTGTTCTACTGGTAAGGTGTACCATAATATCACGAGCAAGTGCCCCCCCCCCCTCCACTACAATGAAAAATAATAGATTTGGAGGGGTCCCGGAGCCACTAAGAATAAAACTGTGTGATTCTAATGAAATGCTTTATTGAGAACACATTTATTCACTGTTATTAAAAAATAGTAAATGATACAGTGAAGATGGCGGGAGGAAGGAGCCGGGTGCTTACTCTGTTACAAGCGCATACTAAAAATCTCTTGAACAAAAAAAAAAGAGGTGGGGGGAGGTAGTCACTGGCTTGAAATTTTATGGTAGACTGTAAATGATAAACTCATAAGCAGTGTAGGGTTGGGGTTACTTTCATGCCAGTTATCCAGGCACACACAATTACATACTCAAAAAATCCCAGATAAATAATATGACACTCACGCTCATACTATCACAACAAAAAATGAAAAACAATACAGTGATCTGAGAGGCTTTATGTTTGATTAAATGAGGGCAAAGTCAAAATACATTGAAGATGAGAAAAGCGTAGCAGAATGAGCATTCTTATTTTAAGCATGCAAAAGCTACAGGATAGTGTTGACTTTGTGTTATCTTCACCAAATTCAAAACAGGACTGTAAATAAAACAAGAAAAAATACTAATTGCACTAAGAGAGCTATACCAACACCCTGCACATGAACTATAGCAGGAGACACTCTAGCCCCAGTCCATTACTTGATACGTGCAACCAAAACAGGAAGAGTCAAGTCAGTGCACCTTGTTTCCACAGATGTGAATACTACTCCCTATTCAATGCTTGAGAGACGTACCGAGGCACAGCTTCCATCGGGCCCTTTCTTCTCCAGCTGCACATTGGTGAGGGTGAATGTCTCTTGCAGAACGGCATCCAGGTTCAGCTCGCTCAGGTCTTTGAACTTCAGCGGTGGCCGTAGCTCGAAAATCGCATTCAGGTGATTTGGCAGCTCTCGATAGATGGTCTTGACAAACTCGAGAAACTGCTGGATCTAAGGCAACACACAGACACAGCCACAAATCACTGGCAAGCAGACAGACCTGCTTGAAGTCCTCTCAACCAAGACTATCACGTCTGAGTAAAGTGAATTGAGCTAGAGTTCGTTGTTGAAAGTAAGTGCCTTTGTCGTGAGTGTATTTTTCTTGTGTCGCACTAATTTGATGCACTATGCCATTTACAGCAGTGCCTTACGCAACTGACCTGCCTTCAACCCGAGTGTTGACACAAAGCTCAGCATTTTTCGGGGGGCACTTCTCCTAAAATAAGGCCACTTCTTCAGCCTATGTTTGCTAAGCAGACAGTAAGTCTACTGCACTCCGCTGTGGCTTAGACTGCATCACCAGCACTGCAACGCAAGTGCCATGCCATGAGCAGAAATGAATCTCTTATCACTAAGAGCCAACAAAGCTGCTTGTCACTTCAGCCATCCACAGCTTGTTAAACCCTTTCCGCTTCCTGCATTAGAACGAGGTCACTCCCTAACACTTATGTACCTAGGCAGTCCAGGCAACATTTACCACACTAATACCTTAGATTTGATTATTCAGTACATAAAGTTTTATTGTGTAAAAAAACTTTAAGATGGTGTAATCGAAAATGGGTTTGGGTCTGTGTTTGTACACAGCCCAAACCTGTGAGCAAAAGAACTGCTGACCCACAAGGGCCTCAACAAATACATCTCGACGACAACTGGTATCACATGAGAGGATTTAAAAAAAGGAATGCATAAGTAAAAAGAGAGTAGAATATAAGACTACAAAGCTTTTAAAAGCATTGTCGAAGTCATTAGTGCTGAGGACCTATACGTACTGTCTCATACTTAATTCTAGTACAAGGTAAGGTTCAATTTATCTGATTTACATTATCCTTATACTTCATTCTTTTATGTGATTTTCCACAAGAGTTTATGGAAATCGTGTTTTGTCTAAAAATCAAAATAGAAAATGAGTGCGCTCAAGATCTGCTGAATCTGTATGCTTGACATAAAAAGGAAAACCTTGCAGCATGCACGTCATGCACTAAGTCAAACAATGTCAGGAGAAATGGAGCACGAAAAATGGATGGGAGATGCTTTCAAGACTTTTTCTACGCAGCAGGTAAGAACTGCAATGCCCTGCATGTCTGCACAAATAAGCCTAACTGGACATTGAAGAGAAGTGTTCATCACAAACCCAGGAATGTGGCCTCCTGAAAGGCATTCAAGTAGTGCTTACCTCAAAACCTAGCCACCATTATGAAAAAAGTTTCTTTTTACTACAAATTGAGAGCTCTTCTTTAGTATGTCTTTATAAAATGAACTATCCAAACACTATACAGCAAAGGATAACTGGAGTTGTTTCTCTCTCAGTGCCGTGTTTTAAGGCTGCATATGGCAAAAAAAAAAAAAAGGATTGTGTTATCGCTGCTTGCCGCATAGAATGCATGCTTCGCATGTTAACCGCCTTGCCGCTACTGCATCCAAACGCTACTAAAAAAGGTAACTTATGGCTTACGTTCCTTGAAGTACACACAGATAACAAGCATGAAGAGCGAATCAAAACTGAAGAGAGAATCAGAGATGCTACCATTTAACGAAAACTTTTTCTGGTTTCCCAGAAACCTGCAATGCAGTAGCGGCGAATAGCCCTTCCCGACAGCCATGGTGACAGCAAATTTTGTCATCATCGCTTGATTTTTTTTTTTTTTTTTCAGGATGTGACCATTGTTTGGTGCGGGCAGTTTCGTTACCTTTGTTGGCTGTGAGCTTGTCGGCCGCGATTACTTTTCACGTGCGCTATTTGTGAACCTCGCTGCGGGGCACAGGTAATTAAAAAAAAATACAGGGGTTGTGCCGTGCACAGACAGAAAGAAGACCAATACGGCATGCGACAATGGGCGAAGGGGGGGAGACAGCCAGCAGAGGTGGCACGGGGAGGGGGGGCATAGTAACAAAAAACAAAAGATATTTAACGGTCAACGAGGCCCCAGATGTCAGTCAGTGGGACTGCAGCGGATGAATGTAGGGAATGGATTTAATGTGGAAGAAAAAAAATCATAATTCTGACACTTGAAGTTTGGGGTGCGCTTATTGTGCGACTGAATTTTTTACATGAGTTCATACGGTATGGCTCATGTTTCCACACAAGGTAAAGAGCTGTTTCCACACAAGGTAAAGAGCAGTGTAATGTGCACCGTAAGTCAGCAAAACAAAGATCTGCCCATATAAACATCACTTCCTTCATATGCCACAAAAAACAGCAGCAAGGTTCAGCAGCTCTTTCAACAGCAGATTTTCTTATCCCACCCGCCAACAACACCATTTACACCCGAACAAATTAGAGTCTTTGATTAGCCCACACAACTCGACACCTGTTGTTTTTGCCGGCAGCCAGTGCAAAAGCTGCTGTCAACAGTGATTAGGCTCCCTGGTGCTTTCATTTGTTATGACTCTGTCTGTCATGTGGATGCGTTTAGAGGCGGATTGTCGGCGCAACAGTCATCAGCATCCACGACAAAACCAATGCAGCAGTTTAGGGACATTGGTAATCCATACTGAAGGTTACTAAAAGCGCACAGAGAACACGGACAAAAAAAGCCACACATATACACACACACAAACACTACTCCCGACAAATTTATAGTTGCAAAACCTTTGTTACTTAGAGCTCTTACAAGAAAACCAGGGCTCGGGCTATGCTGCCATTAAAGATGCAACCACGTCAGAGTACATTCACTTAACAAATCCAACTCGGATAGGCTTTAGTAAGATTTAGATGAAGACAAGGAGACACACAGAACACAACTTGCCCAAGTCAAAGTGCTACAAGAATCCAACCCCTGAAAATCTTATGCTGTGGAGAGCAATACTTTGTGATGGTCACAAGTAGTCTTTAAATCTAGAAAACAAAACAATGTCAACCAGTGCGATGCATGCAAAACCCCATGCAGCCATACCTTGGAGTCCTGTGCGAAGAAACCTCAAAATGCAGTGAGCAAAACGAGAGAAGCACTGTTACGAAACAGCATCAAGACATTAAATCAAAGCAAGGACCACTTATAACGTAACCTTGTATCGACGCTTCCTGGCTACCACTTTGGCAAAATTTTCCAACTACAACGTACACACTTCTCCGTGTGCAACAAAGAGGGAACCTAGTGAGGTGCTCGATTCGGGTTAGACACAACCCCATGAAGCCAAGAGACAAAGAGATGCTTTGTGCAATCGTGTTTACCTTTATACCGTAGCTGCATAAAAGAATCTAACAATAATGAAGATTGTGCAACAGCCGAAAATGCTTGCTGACAAGATGAGCAGCGACCATTTGGTGAATGACGTACTCCGGGCACAACAGAAGTGGTTGGTATTATACTATAGATTATTGCAGAATATGTAAGTTAATAGCAGAGCAGGTACTGAAACTGACAAATTTTTCTAGCTTGAAAGAACATGTAAAAATTTTCAAATTAACTGCAAAATAAAACAAGTTGGAAAAGAACTCATTTTCAAGAAGAAAAAACATTTCACTGTTTACTTGACATGTTTCAGACCATTTACATATTGTGCTGCTTACTGGAAATTTCGTAAATTCCACTGGACTCTCTATGCCTATCCATATTTGCCATTTTTGCACCCAATATTTGTATAGACAGGCTTAGAAGGTGTTCCTGATCGCATGTTACCAAGTTCCTTATACTAAATGCAGAGCACCGTCTATGCATTTCACATTGGCGTGAATGAATACACGGGTTCTAGTTTCGTAGCGCAATGTGCTGAAGCAGAAACGTTCAAATCATGCGTTTTTTCTAACCCTTTTCTAGTTTTAGTAAACATTATTTGAACAACCAAATTCACATCTCTTTGCCCCATTTAGGCCGCAAATTTAGCTATGAAATTGGTATGTGTAGCTGGCTAGGAAGACTGAACAAACTACCCAATAAACCGGCCTGTGACTGTATTGTGGGTGTAGTACACGCAAGTTATGGTTTGTAAAAACTGCTCACTCTTAGCCACATGATACAAACATTCTTCTATTTGTGCACTTTAGTTGTTGAATGCCCTAAGCTGCATATTTTAGACAAGTCCAGTGACTTGCGCTATAAGTGGTCTACAGAGGCACAGGGTGAGGGATATAGCTCGCAACAGGCATATTCAGCTACCCCTAAGCAACAGTACAAAGCAATAGCTATACCGTGCTCTAAAGATATGCAACAAACATGCACCATCCCACATACTACCCAACACAGCCTACTACAATGCCTGCACACAAGAGCCAACTTCAATCTAGCATGAAAGAATAGTTCAATGCCAAAAATAGAAACAAAAAGGCACCTACACGATTTGACAATGCCCTTTTAAACGTGAAGAAGTGTGTGCTGTAGGCCATGCAACATTTCGAACTGTGAAGGTGCACTGTAGAATGCAATGGGCATTGTAGCAAGGAAAATGTTGCCGTTTTGTTGGCCCCACAACACTTATCCTGCAATGAACTACAAGGATTTTGTCGGGTGCCCACAGTAGGTAGCCGAAAACTGTCTGGCCCCTTGTCAAAATAAAAGGAGCAACAAGAACATTTTCATCAATGCCAACAGTCCAGTGGAGCAAGTGTTCTGCTTTATCACATAAATGGCAACATCACTGGTCCAACGTGTTCTCCATCAGCTGTGAGCTTCCCACTTGGCCTTGCCCTTCTATGCATGACTGAGATAGACTGCACATAACCAAAACAAGTGCATAACCATATTCACAAGAAGTGCTTAAGAACAATTCTCCAATGACTATGGGTTAAGGGCCATTGCAAAAATGTCACAAGGTGACGAGTTAATAAGCAAATAATCATTCAGTATAACTAGAGCTCAAAAAAAGTCTCCTCAGCCTTGAAAATGCTTTGTAATTTAAAAAAAAAGTTGCTCAAATATGAGGGAAAGGTGAAATGCAGCATTAATTATTTTAATTGCAATTCAGATCACATCTCAAACATCCCCAGCATCCACTCTTTTCATTTTGACAGCATT